CTTATGTACTCTATTGCATATGATTTTCAATGGCTTATTTTTCAGAAGTCGATCTTCAAGCATTTCATCCAAGGTTCTTCTGGGAGGTCTTGAATTGCCAACCTTTCAGTTAACAGCCAAGAGAAAACAGTTTGTTCCACTCAGGGACTCTGGATAATCCAAAATAAACTCCACAGCACCGAGAAAAATTCTCTAGAGAGGTTTTCCTTCACTTAAAACCATACAGCCATTGAGTGGCTGCTGACTCGTTGTGACCCTACAGGACAGGGTAGAACTGTGAGTGGGTGCCCAAGACTGTAACTCTTTACTGGAGTGGGAAGGTCTGTCTTGCTCCTGGGGAGCAACTGGTGGTTTGGAACGGCTGACCTTTCAGATCAAAGCCCAGTGAGTAACCACTATCCCTACATGCTCACCACTCATCGCCATCGAGTCCATGCTGAGCATTTCTGAGACTGTAATGGTTGATGGGAGTAGACAGCCCAGTCTGTCTCCTCCTCTGCTACTTGGCCTCAAATGGGGGTTCAGAGAACCACCTCCGTAAACGGTGTCCATGAGGAATTTTTCATAGTCATTTGTGCTTCTGGTTTTTCTCCCAGCTTGCATGAACAACTTTAGTATGCTTTTCTATCTTGAAACCTTTCATCTCCTTTCACGGGGAAATGATCTTCATCACATTATTAAACTAATCTATTAAAAGAAAGCAATCTCCCCAAGAATCAGAGAGTAGATGAGTATTAGCATCTTTCCTCAGACTGAACCAATCAAAGGAAGGAGTTATAGACGGGTGTTAGCTTTATCATCTCTGTCACCAATAATGATCTTAACTATCTGCAAATCTTTAATAAAGAGCGTCATTTGCAACAAAGCATGAAAGCAGCCCTTGGTCCCTAATATTTACAGTTAATTATGTTTTATTTTTGTGTCCTTACATCTGTTCAAGTCAAGAAAAATCCACTCATGTGAGTCTGTTATGGAAAGGAAGACATTACTAGTTTAAACATTAGCTTTCTGCAGGTCAGTCTTATTGATATGCTCGACAGATGGGATGGATTTTCACCCAGTCAGGAAACACTTCAAAGTCAACCCAAGTAACCTTGATGAATTTTTGTTGGCTTTTATATCATCCTTTACAGAACTCCAATAATGGTCCAGGTTGTCAGGAATCTATTTCAATATCCTTTTATTTAACCTCTAATCAATTTTATCCACACACACAAAATGAATACCAGTGACTCAGATGTTTATGTCCTTTGCCAGATGAACTCCATTCTCCTGGTTTTGTATATAATTATAATTGGACAAGGATGCTAGCTCATTACACTGCATGTAAATATGCGACTTTCTTGGTTTGGTAAACTTACAAGATTTAGGGGTGACTTACGGACCTGGGAATAACAGACACTTCCAAGCCCCAAACAGCATTGCTGCCCCCACCTCAATGAGACCTGGGGTTTGGGACTTTTCCAGATATTTTGATGGATTTGCACCAATCTACTTAACACTCCCTTGCCTGGTCCCAGTGTGACCAATTTTGTGTAAGAAGAAGATAATAAGCCCAGGATTAGGAGTGAGATTTGTGATCTTGATTCATCCCACTCTGAATTCTTCAGTACAGTGACTAGTGAGGCGCCTAGTTTATTCCTAAATGATAACCTGGGGCTTTGAACCAGCTCCTTCTGATTAGACCCTCCCTTCCTGGGGTTTTGCATTCCCACCCCAGGCATACTGAATCTATTTTAACAAGGGCCTCAGGGGAAGGTATACACAAAAATCACTTGGAGATCTTGTGAAAATGCAGATTCAGATTCAGTATTTTTTTTTTTTTTGCAGGCACTCTCCAACCCACCCCCACCCCCGCAGCCCCAGATTCAGTATTATCGTGGTGAAAATGGAAATTTCCAGTGGGGGGTGGTGGTAGTTCTAACCAAATGAACCCTTTGAAAACTGGGTTTTATACAACCCCACCTCCCACCCCCACCCCGCAAATCCACTCACATCAATTCAGACTCATGCACGGCCATCCAGTCAATTCCAACTCATAGTGACCCTCTAGGAGAGAGCACAATGGCCCCTGTGGTTTCCAAGGTTGCAAATCTTTATGGGGGGCAGAAAGAATTATCTTCCTTCCTTGGAGGATCTAATGGGTTTGAACTACTGACCTTGTGGTTGGCAGCCCAATGCTTATCCCAGAGCACCACCAGGGCTCCTTTATATAGACATAGTAATACCCCAAAGCCAAACCTGTTACTGAGATTTCAACTCATACTCACCCCACAGGACAGAGTAAAACTTCCCCACAGGGTTTCCAGGGCTGTAATCTTCAGGGGAGCAGACAGCCATCGTCCTTACAAGGAGCAGCTGCTGGTGGTTTCCATCCACTAGACCTTATGGTTCAGAGCTGAATGTCCAGCTACTGAGTCAGCAAAGCTCCTCATGCCAGCTTCCTGCTCTGGAGTCGATTCTGACTCGTGGTGACCCCATAGGGCAGGGCAGAACTGTCTCCGGGGGTTCCGAGACACTCAATCTTTAAGGGAGTAGAAAGTCTCATCTTTCTCCCTTGGAGAGACTGGTGATTTCAAACTGCTGAACTTGCAGTTAGAACGCAGTCATATTTGCCATTCCCCTGTTCAGTGGGGATGCATTCCTTCCTCTGACTTTGGAAGTGAGAAGGAATAGAATAAAAGGTAGTGCAGTTTTCTTAAGGGTGTATGTTTGAGTTGGAACAAAGGCCTGGGAATCTACTTCCCCAGATTCAGCCATTGCAACCCTATGGAGCACAGTCTGCTCTGGTCCATGTGAAGTTTCCGTGAGTGCTTCTCTGTAATTGACACTAAACCTAGAAGGGGTTGGGTGGGTGAATATGACATGGATTCATTGCCCTTCCGATGTTTTTCCTTCTGGAGGATGGTGGCCTATGAGACCATGGCCTGTCCTAGAAGAGTGATAGCACTTTGATGTAAATCTTAAAAGATGGACATGATTGCCGTTTCTGCACGGAGAAGGGAAGATCTAACTTTTTCTGAAAGTGCCTTCTGGCCTTGCACATCTATTCACCCCCTTTTTCTATACTCGAATCCCCGAGGACTCAGGGACTGGGCTCTTTAGGGTCATGGCTAAGTGTGGAGCACTTTTACACAGTACATGGTATGCAGGAGATTTTTAATAAGTGCTTAGAAGTCTCTTAGATCTGATCTTGGTGCTAGGTGTGGCTTCCTTGCATGGCTGTGTCCTGCCCGTGGCTGTGGATGGGAAATGATATGGGTTGTATCCCAATCCAGAGCTTCTCTCAGGGCCCAGAGAGCCTTC